CATTTCCCCATTTCCCCATTTCCCATTTCCCCATTTCCCATTTCCCATTTCCCCATTTCCCCATTTCCCATTTCCCCATTCCCCATTTCCCATTTCCCATTTCCCATTTCCCATTATTTCCCCATTCCCCATTTCCCATTTCCCATTTCCCATTTCCCATTATTTCCCATTTCCCATTTCCCATTTCCCCATTTCCCATTATTTCCCCATTATTTCCCATTTCCCATTTCCCATTTCCCCATTATTTCCCCATTATTTCCCATTTCCCATTTCCCCTCCTCACCGCCCTCTCCGGTGGCCGCGGGCTCCCAGCGGCTCCATCCCGAGCGGCCGCGCCTGTCGCGACAGGCGACGCGCGCGCGGTATCGCGACAGCGGCCGCAGCCCCGCCAGCCGCAGCCGGAACGGCGGCACGGCCGCCCAGCGCGACACCAGCGCTGCCGCGACAGCGGCGCCGTGTCGCGACATGGGGGAGGCGGTGACATCGCCCCCATGTCGCGACATGGATGAGGCGGTGACGTCACCCCCATGTTCCGACATGGCGGACGCGGTGACGTCATCCCCATGCCACGACATGGCGGACGCGGTGACGTCACCCCCATGCCACGACATGGCGGACGCGGTGACGTCATCCCCATGCGGCGACATGGCGGACGCGGTGACGTCACCCCCGTGTTCCGACATGGCGGACGCGGTGACGTCATCCCCATGTCGCGACATGGCGGACGCGGTGACGTCGCCCCCATGTCGCGATATGGAGGAGTCAGTGACGTCGCCCCCATGTCGCGACACGCGGGGGTCAGAGGCGACATCGGCGACATCAGCCGGGACCACCTTGGGGACACCAAAACCGGCCCCCGATTGGCCCAAAGCGGCACAAAATTTGGGCGGTTTTGGGAAAATTTGGGGAGTTTTTTGGGGGGGAAAATTGGGGTGATTTTGGGGAAAAGTGGGGGGATTTTGGGGGATTTTGGGGGGATTTTGGGCCAATTTTGGGGCAATTTAAGGCAATTTTGGGGAGATTTTGGGATCCTTTTGGGCTGATTTTGGGGTGATTTTGGGCCAATTTTGAGGTGATTTTTGGCTGATTTTGAGGTGATTTTTGGTTGATTTTGGGGCAATTTGGGGCTTTTTTGGGTGATTTTGGGGCAATTTTGGTCTCATTTTGGGCCAATTTTGGGGTGATTTTGGGGCGATTTGGGGTTGATTTTGGGGTGATTTTGGGGTGATTTAAGGCAATTCTGGGATCATTTGGGGGTGAATTTGGGGCAAGTTTGGGGGATTTTGGGGCTGATTTTGGGGCAATTTGGAGCACATTTTGGGGAATTTTGGGGCAATTTGGGGTTGATTTTGGGGTGATTTTGGGAAAATTTGGGGCTTTTTTTGGGGCAATTTTGGGGCTGATTTTGGGGCAATTTGGAGCAAATTTTGGGGAATTTTGGAGTGATTTTGAGGCAATTTTAGGACAATTTTGGGGCAATTTAAGGTAATTTTGGGGTGATTTTGGGCCTATTTTGGGATCATTTTGGGCCAATTTTTGGGTTATTCTGGGGCGATTTGGGGTTGATTTTGGGGTGATTTTGGGATTAATTTTCAGGCAGATTTCGTGCAGATTTCGGGTGGATTTCGTGCAGATTTTGGGTGGATTTCAGGCGGATTTCGTGCAGATTTTGGGATTAATTTTGGGGTGAATTTCATGCAGATTTCAGGCGGATTTTGGGATTGATTTTTGGGTGGATTTTGGGCGGATTTTGGGATTGATTTTTGGGTGGATTTCGCGCTGATTTCAGGATTGATTTTTGGGCGGATTTTGGGCAGATTTCGGGCGGATTTTGTGCGGATTTTGGGCGGATTTTGGGATTAATTTTTGGGTGAATTTCGTGCAGATTTTGGGCGGATTTTGGGATTAATTTTTGGGTGAATTTCGTGCAGATTTTGGGCGGATTTTGGGGTGATTTCGGGATTGATTTTTGGGTGAATTTCGTGCAGATTTCTTGCGGATTTTGGGCGGATTTCGTGCAGATTTTGGGATTAATTTTGGGGTGAATTTTGAGTGGATTTCGGGATTGATTTTTGGGTGGATTTTGGGCGGATTTTGGGTGGATTTCGGGATTGATTTTTGGGCGGATTTAACGCTGATTTCGTGCGGATTTTGGGATTGATTTTTGGGCGTATTTCGGGCAGATTTCGGGCGTATTTCGGGATTGATTTTTGGGCTGATTTCGGGATTGATTTTTGGGCTGATTTTGGGCAGAATTCAGGATTGATTTTTGGGTGAATTTCGTGCGGATTTTGGGCGGATTTTGGGATTGCTTTTTGGGTGGATTTCGGGATTGATTTTTGGGCGGATTTCGGGCAGATCTCGGGATTGATTTTTGGGCTGATTTCGGGATTTATTTTTGGGCTGATTTTGGGCAGAATTCGGGATTGATTTTTGGGTGGATTTCGGGCAGATTTCAGGATTGATTTTTGTGCTGATTTTGGGCAGATTTCAGGATTGATTTTTGGGCTGATTTTGGGCAGAATTCGGGATTGATTTTTGGGCGGATTTAGCGCGGATTTCGGGGTATTTTGGGATTGATTTTTGGGCAGATTTCAGGATTGATTTTTGTGCTGATTTCGGGCAGATTTCAGGATTGATTTTTGGGCGGATTTCGGGATTGATTTTTGGGCTGATTTCAGGATTGATTTTTGGGTGGATTTCCCGCGGATTTCGGGGTATTTTGGGATTGATTTTTGGGCGGATTTCAGGATTGATTTTCGGGCGGATTTCGGGATTGATTTTCGGGCAGATTTCAGGATTGATTTTTGGGCGGATTTCGGGGGATTTCGGGATTGATTTTTGGGCAGATTTCAGGATTGATTTTTGGGTGGATTTCGGGATTGATTTTTGTGCTGATTTCGGGCAGATTTCAGGATTGATTTTTGGGCAGATTTCAGGATTGATTTTTGGGCGGATTTCAGGATTGATTTTTGGGCGGATTTCGGGGTATTTTGGGATTGATTTTTGGGCGGATTTCCCGGGATTCGGGCCCGGGCTCACCTGCAGCGCGCACTCCTGCGGCCCCGCGGCCCCGGGCGCCTCCCCCGGCTCCCAGCTCAGCTCCAGCCAGCGCGGGCCCGTCCCCGACACCCGCGGGTGCCGCGGCGCCGCGGGCACCACTGCGACACGGCCGGCGTCAGCGGCGCCCCGGGGACCCAGAGGCACCCCGGGGACCCCAAGTGGCACCAAATGGCACCCCAGGGTTCTCAAGTGGCACCCCAGGGGCCCCAAATGGCCCCAAGTGGCACCCCAGGGTTCTCAAGTGGCACCAAATGGCACCCCAGGGGCCCCAAGTGGCACCCCAGGGTCCCCAGATGGCACCCTAAGGGCCCCAAGTGGCACCCCAGGGTCCCCAAGTGACACCCCAGGGTCCCCAAGTGGCACCAAATGTCACCCCAGGGGCCCCAAATGGCCCCAAGTGGCACCCCAGGGTTCTCAAGTGGCACCCCAGGGTCCCCAAATGGCCCCAAATGGCACCACAGGGTCCCCAAATGTCCTCAAAAGTCCCCAAAATGTCCTCAAATGGCCCCAGATGGCCCCAAATGGCACCCCAGGGTCCCCAAGTGTCCCCAAATGGCCCCAAAATGTCCCCAAATGGCCCCAAAATGGCCCCAGATGGCCCCAGATGGCCCCAAAATGTCCCCAAATGGCCCCAAATGGCACCCCAGGGTCCCCAAATGTCCCCAAATGGCCCCAAATGTCACCCCAGGGTCCCAAAATGTCCCCATATTCCACCCAAATGTCCTCAAATGTGCCCAAATGTCACCCAAGGGTCACCAAATGTCCCCCAAATGTCCCCAAGTGGCCCCAAATGGCCCCAAATGTCACGCCAGGGGCCCCAAGTGTCACCAAGTGTCACCACAGGGTCCCCAGTGGCACCCCAGGGTCCCCAAGTGTCCCCAAGTGGCCCCAAATATCACTCCAGGGTCCCCAAAATGTCCTCAAATGTCCCCAAATGTCCCCAAATGTCCCCAAATGTCACCAAATGGCCCCAAATGTCACCCAAGGGTCACCAAATGTCCCCAAATTCCACCCAAATGTCCCAAATGGCACCCCAGGGTCCCCAAGTGTCCCCAAATGGCCCCAAAAGGGCCCAAAATGGCCCCAGATGGCCCCAAATGTCACCCCAGGGTCCCAAAATGTCCCCAAATTCCACCCAAATGTCCTCAAATGTGCCCAAATGTCACCCCAGGGTCCCCAAATGTCTCCAAGTGGCCCCAAAATGTCCCCAAATGGCCCCAAATTGCCCCACATGGCCCCAAAATGTCCCCAAATGGCCCCAAATGGCACCCCAGGGTCCCCACATGTCCCCAAATTCCACCCAAATGTCCCCAAGTGTCCCCAAATGGCCCAAATGTCACCCAAGGGTCACCAAAAGTCCCCAAATTCCCCAAAATGTCCCCAAATGTCCTCAAATGTGCCCAAATGGCCCCAAATGCCACCCCAGGGTCCCAAAATGTCCCCAAATTCCTCCCAAATGTCCTCAAATGTGCCCAAATGTCCCCAAATGTCACCCAAGGATCACCAAATGTCCCCAAATGTCCTCAAATGTCCCCAAATTCCACCCAAAATGTCCCCAAATTCCACCCCAGGGTTCTCAAATGTCCCCAAATGTCCCCAATTCCACCCAAATGTCCCGAAAATGTCCCCAAATGTCACCCCAGGGCCCCCAAATGTCCCCAAATTCGACCCAAATTCCACCCAAATGTCCCCAAATGTCACCTCAGGGTCCGCAAATGTCCCCAGATGTCCCCAAGGGTCCCCAAATGTCCTCAAATTCCCCAAAATGTCCCCAAATGCCACCCCAGGGATTTTGGGCTGAATTCCGGGGATTTTGGGGGGATTTTGGGCTGAATTGGGGGGATTTTGGGCTGTGTTTTGGGGGTTATTTTGGGCTGAATCCGGGGGATATTTGGGTGCATTTTGGGCTGAATTCCGGGGATTTGGGTGGTTTTGCTCACCGGTGACGGTGGCGCTGCGGGAGCTGCTGACGCCGCGCTCGTTGTGCGCCTCGCAGACGAAGGAGCTGCTGCGGTTCAGCCCTGGGGGGGGGGGGGGGACAAATTTGGGGACAATTTTGGGGGTTTTGGGGAAAAATTTTAGTCATCCAAACCCCCCTCCACAGCAGTGACACCCCGGGGCCTTCCCAAGGGACTCAGATGTCGCCAAATCCCCCCGAATTCACACCAAAATCCACCAAAAAAACCCAATTTTTCAACTCTCCAAATCCCCCCAAAATCCCTCAAAATCCCCCCAAATTCTTCCATTTCCCAACCCTCCAAATTCCTCCAAATTCCCCCCAAAATCCACCAAAAAAACCCAATTTTTCAACTCTCCAAATCCCCCCAAAATCCCTCAAAATCCCCCCAAATTCCTCCATTTCCCAACCCTCTAAATTCCTCCAAATTCCCCCCAAAATCCACCGAAAATACCCAATTTTTCAACTCTCCAAATTACCCCAAATTCCTCCCAAATCCCCCCAAATTCCCCCATTTCCGAAAACCCAAATGTCCCCAAATCCCCCCAAATTCCCCCCGAAATCCACCAAAAATACCCAATTTTTCAACTCTCCAAATACCCCCAAATTCCTCCATTTCCCAACCCTCCAAATGTCCCCAAAATTCTCCCCAAAATTCTCCCCAAAATTCCCCCCAAATCCCCCCAAATTCCCTCATTTCCCAAAACCCAAATCCCCCAAAATCCCCCCCAAATTCCCCCATTTCCCAAAATCCCAAATGTCCCCAAAATTCTCCCCAAAATTCCCCCCAAATTCCCCAAATTCCCCAATTTCCAAAAACCCAAATGTCCCAAAAATTCTCCCCAAAATTCCCCCCAATTCACCCAAATTCCTCCATTTCCCAAACCCCAAATGTCCCCAAATGTCCCCAGGGGGTCCCCGAGCCCCCCAAAACCCGCCTGAAAACCCCAAAAAAACCCCCAAAAACTCCAAAAAATGCCCCAAAAAAACCCAAAATCCAGAACTCCAAATGTCCCCAAATGTCCCCAAAATGTCCCCAAATGTCCCCAAATGTCCCCAGCCCCACCTGGCACCCGCAGGGTGGACGGGCTCCGTGCCAGGGGGTCCCCGAGCCCCCCAAAACCCCAAAAATCCCCCAAAAATCCCAAATAAAACCCAAGAATCCCCCAAAACCCCAAACCCCAAATGTCCCCAAATGTCCCCAAATGTCCCCAAATGTCCCCAAAATGTCCCCAACTGTCCCCAAAATGTCCCCAACTGTCCCCAACTGTCCCCAAAATGTCCCCAGGTGTCCCCAGCCCCACCTGGCACCCGCAGCACGGACGGGCTCTGTCCCAGGGGGTCCCCGAGCCCCCAAAACCCCCCAGAAACCCCCAAAAATCCCAAATAAAACCCAAAAAAACCCCAAAACCCCAAACCCCAGGTGTCCCCAGCTGTCCCCAGCTGTCCACAGCTGTCCCCAAATGTCCCGAACCCCACCTGGCACCTGCAGCACGGATGGTCTCTGTGCCAGGGGATCCCCGAGCCCCCCAAAATCCCCCCTGAAAATCCCCCAGAAACCCCCAAAAAATCCCAAATAAAACCCAAAAAACCCCCCAAAACCCCAAACCCCAAATGTCCCCAGGTGTCCCCAAGTGTCCCCAGGTGTCCCCAGCTGTCCCCAGCTGTCCCCAGCTGTGCCCAGGTGTCCCCAGGTGTCCCCAAGCCCCACCTGGCACCCGCAGGGTGGACGGGCTCTGTCCCAGGGGGTCCCCGAGCCCCCCAAAACCCCAAAATCCCCCTGAAAAACCCCAAGAAAACCCTAAAAAAACCCCAAACCCCGTAACCCAAGATGTCCCCAAATGTCCCCAGCTGTCCCCAGGTGTCCCCAGCCCCACCTGGCACCCGCAGCACGGACGGGCTCTGTCCCAGGGGGTCCCCGAGCCCCCCAAAACCCCCCCAAAAACCCCCCAAAATCCCAAATAAAACCCAAAACCCCCCAAAACCCCAAACCCCAGATGTCCCCAAGTGTCCCCAGCTGTCCCCAGCTGTCCCCAGGTGTCCCCAAATGTCCCAAACCCCACCTGGCACGCGGAGCACGGACGGGCTCCGTTCCGGGGGGTCCCCGAGCCCCCCAAAATCCCCCCAAAAACCCCAAAAATCCCAAATAAAACCCCCAAAATCCCCCCAAACCCGTAACCCCAGCTGTCCCCAAGTGTCCCCAGCTGTCCCCAGCTGTCCCCAGCTGTCCCACCTGGCACCCTCAGCACGGACGGGCTCCGTTCCGGGCGCTCCGCGGGCGGCCCCAGCGCGGTCCCGTCCCGCAGCCAGCGCAGCCGCGCGGCGCCGCGGGCGGAGCAGCGCAGCGAGAACGGGGCGAGCGCCGGCACCCGCAGCGCCCGCGGCTCCTCCTCGAACTCCGGCAGCCCTGGCCGAGCTTTGGGGCAAATTCCCGGGATTTTGGGAAAATTGGGGGAAATTCCGGGAGTTCCGGGGGTGGAAACAGCAAAAAACCCGGGGAAAATCGGTCAAAATTTGGGTAAATTTGGGGTTTCAATGGGAGCAGAATTCCCGGCTCTGGGTGCGTGGCAGCCCTGGAACGTTCCAGAACAATTTGGGCGAAATTTGGGGAATTTTGGGAAAAATTCCGGGAGTTTTGGGGGTGAAAACCCCAAAAAAACCCCAAAAAACCCCCAAAAACGCCCAAAATTTGGGTAAATTTGGGTAAATTTGGGATTTTAACGGGGCCAGAATTTGGGAAAAAAATGGGGAGAAATCTGAAAAAATTTGGGGAATTTTGGGGAAACATTGATGGAAAATTTGGGAAATTTTAGGGAAATTTGGGAAAAAACCGGGGGAAAATATGGAAAAAGTTTGGGGAAAATTTGAGAAAAATTAGGGGGAAATTTGGGGAAAATTTTAGAAAAATATGGAGAATTTTGGGGAAAATTGGAGAAAAAACTGGGAAAAATGTTGAGAAAATTTTGGAAACTTTGGGGAAAGGATTGGAAAAATTTGGGGGAAATTTGGAGGAAATTTTGGGAAAAATTTGGGGGAAATTTGGAGGAAATCTGGGAGAAATTTGGAGGGAATTTGGGGGAAATTTGTGAATTTTTTGATAAAAAATTGGGGAAAATTTGGGAATTTTTAGGGAAAATTTGAAGGAATTTGGGGAAAATTTGGGAAATTTTTGACAACATTTTGGGAAAATTTGGGAATTTTTAGGGAAAATTTGGAGGAAATTTGGGGAAAATTTGGGGGAGATTTGGAAAATTTTGAGAAAAAATTGGGGAAAATTCGGGAAATTTTAAGGAAAAGTTTTGGAAAATTTGGGAAAAAATTGTGAAACTTTGGGGAATTTTTGGAAAATTTTTGGTGAATTTTAGGGGAAATTGGAGGAAAAACGGGAAAATTTTTTTGGCAGATTCTTTGGGGTTTTTTTGGGATTTTTTGGGTGCTATTTGGGATTTTGGGGGATTTTTGTGATTTTGGGAGATTTTTTGGGGATTTTTTTTTGGGATATTCAGGGAAATTTTTGGAGGTTTTTGGGGTTTTTTGGGATTTTTGGGGGGATTTTTCAGCAGATTCTTTTGGGATTTTTTTGGGATTTTTTGGTCTTTTTTGGGGGATTTTTTGGGATTTTTCAGGGATTTTTCAGGGCATTCTTTTGGGAATTTTGGGGGAATTTTTTGGTTTTTTTTTATTTTTTGGAGGGATTTTGGGATTTTGGGGGGGATTTTCCGGCAGATTCGTTTGGGATTTTTTGGGGTGGATTTTTGGGATTTTTCAGGGATTTTTCAGGGCATTCTTCTGGAATTTTGGGGGAATTTTTTGGCAGATCTTTCAGGATTTTTGGGGGATTTTTTGGGGATTTTTTGGGTGCATTTTTGGGTGCATTTTTTGAGTATTTTTGGGGTTTTTTTGGGGGATTTTTGGGGGGTTTGTGGGGATTTTTGGGTGGTTTTTTGGGTATTTTTTGGGGGATATTTGGGTGGGTTTTTTGGGTTTTTTTTGGGTATTTTGAGTGCATTTTTGGTGGGATCTTTGGGGTTTTTTTTTGATATTTTGGGAGGTTTTTGGGTGGGCTTTTTGGGTATTTTGGGTGGGTTTTTTGGGTATTTTTGGGGGGTTTTGGGTATTTTTGGGTATTTTGGGTGTGTTTTGAGGTATTTTGGGTGTGGTTTTGGGGGGGATTTTTGGTATTTTGGGGGGATTTTTGGGGGGATTTTTGGGGGGATTTTTGGGGGGATTTTTGGAGGGATTTTTTTTGTATTTGGGGTGTGATTTTGGGGTATTTTTGGGTATTTTGGGTGTGGTTTTGGGTGGTTTTTTTTGATATTTTGAGTGTGGTTTTGGGAGTTTTTTGGGGTATTTTTGGGTGTGTTTTTGGGTATTTCGGGTGTGTTTTTGGGTGTGTTTTTGGGTATTTCGGGTGGATTTTTTGGGTGGATTTTTGGGATATTTTGGGGCGATTTTGGGTGGATTTTTGGGATATTTTGGGGAGATTTTGTGGTGTGTTTTTGGGTATTTCGAGTGGGTTTTTGGGGTGTTTTTGGGTGGTTTTTTTGGGTGTGTTTTTGGGTATTTCGGGTGTGTTTTTGGGTGTGTTTTTGGGTATTTCGGGTGTGCTTTTGGGGTGTTTTTGGGGCGTTTTTGGGGTGTTTTTGGGTATTTCGGGTGTGTTTTTGGGGTGTTTTCGGGGTGTTTTTGGGGTGTTTTTGGGTGTGTTTTTGGGGTGTTTTTGGGGTGTTTTCGGGGTGTTTTTGGGGTGTTTTTGGGGTGTTTTTGGGGTGTTTTTGGGGTGTTTTTGGGGTGTTTTTGGGGAGTTTTTGGGGCTCACCTGCCAGCTCCAGCGTGGCGGGCCGCGAGAGCAGCCGCGGCCCCGGCCCCGCCCGGGCCCAGCAGCGGAAGCGGCCGGAGTCGGACTCGGAGAGCGGCGCCAGCCTGCGGAATTCGGGGAATTCGGGGATTTTGGGGGATTTTGGGGATTTTTGGGGATTTTGGGGGGATTTTGTGGATTTTTTTGGCAGGATTTTGGGGTGTTTTGGGGATTTTTGGGGTTTCTTTGGCAGGATTTTGAGGGGAGATTTGGTGGTTTTGGGGAGATTTGGGGTTTGGGATTTGAGGATTTGGGGACTTGGGATTTGGGAATTTGGGAATTTGGGAATTTGGGATTTGGGATTTAGGATTTGGGGTTTGGGGATTTGGGGTTTGGGGATTTTTGGGGATTTTTGGGGATTTAGGGATTTGGGGATTTGGGGTTTGGGGATTTTTGGGGATTTTTGGGGATTTGGGGGTTTGGGGATTTTTGGGGATTTTTGGGGATTTGGGGATTTGGGGATTTTTGGGGATTTTTGGGGATTTGGGGATTTGGGGATTTTTGGGGATTTGGGACTCGGGGATTTTTTTGGGGATTTTGGATTTTTGGGGACGCAGAGACTCGGAGACATCGGTGCCATCAACAACCACACCCGGGTGACATCAGTGACACACAGGGGTGACACAGGTGACATCAATGACACAGAGGTGACACAGGTGACACAGGTGACACAGGGGTGACATCAATGACACAGGTGGCACAGGTGACATCAATGACACAGGAGTGACACAGAGGTGACACAGGTGACACAGAGGTGACACCAATGACACAGGTGACATCAATGACACAGGGGTGACACCAATGACACAGGTGACACTGAGGTGACACAGGGGTGACATCAATGACATCAATGACACAGAGGTGACACAGGTGACACAGGGGTGACACAGGTGACACAGGGGTGACACAGGGGTGACACTGAGGTGACACAGGTGGCCCACCTGAGCTGGCTGGTGGCCACCCACCCCCCCCCGGGCAGTGCCACCTGGGCCAGGTCGCTGTGCCAGGACACAGGGGTGACACCAATGACACAGGGGTGACACAGGTGACACAGAAGTGACACAGGTGACACAGGGGTGACACCAATGACACAGAGGTGACACAGAGGTGACACAGGTGACACTGAGGTGACACAGGGGTGACATCAATGACACAGGGGTGACACAGGTGGCCCACCTGAGCTGGCTGGTGGCCACCCAGCCGCCCCCGGGCAGTGCCACCTGGGCCAGGTCGCTGTGCCAGGACACAGGGGTGACACAGGTGACACAGGTGACACAGGTGACACAGAGGTGACACAGGGGTGACACAGGTGGCCCACCTGAGCTGGCTGGTGGCCACCCACCCCCCTCCGGGCAGTGCCACCTGGGCCAGGTCGCTGTGCCAGGACNAGGGGTGACACAGGTGGCCCACCTGAGCTGGCTGGTGGCCACCCACCCCCCTCCGGGCAGTGCCACCTGGGCCAGGTCGCTGTGCCAGGACACAGGGGTGACACCAATGACACAGAGGTGACACAGGTGACACAGGTGACACAGGTGACACAGGTGACACTGAGGTGACACTGAGGTGACACTGGTGGCCCACCTGAGCTGGCTGGTGGCCACCCACCCCCCTCCGGGCAGTGCCACCTGGGCCAGGTCGCTGTCCCCGTCCAGGTCGCGCCCGTCGCGCTCCCAGCCCAGCTCGGGGGGCGGCCCCGGGGCCCGGCCGCGGACGCGGCAGCGCAGCCGCACCGACCCCCCCGGGGCCGCGCGCGCGTCCGAAGGGTGCTCCAGGAAGGTCAGGGCTGCGGGAACGGGAATGGCGGGATTCCCAAAAAAAAAATGGGAAAAGTGGGGGAAATGGGGGGAAATGGGGGAAAAATGGGAAAAATGGGGATAAACGGTGAAAAAATGGGAAAAAATGGTAAATTTCCAGTCCTGGAATAGGGTCAGGGCAGCTCCAGGAAGGTCAGGGCTGCGGGAACGGGAATGGCGGGATTCCCAAAGAAAATGGGAAAAGTGGGGGAAATATGGGGGAAATGGGGGAAAAAATGGGAAAAATCGCAATAAAAATGGGGGAAAATGGGAAAATTTACAGTCCCNGTGGGGGAAATATGGGGGAAATGGGGGAAAAAATGGGAAAAATCGCAATAAAAATGGGGGAAAATGGGAAAATTTACAGTCCCGGAATTGGGTCAAGGCAGCTCCAGGAAGGTCAGGGCTGGGGAGAACCGGGAATGGTAAAATTCCCCCCCAAAAAAAGGGAAAAATGGCGTAAATGTGGGGGAAATGGGGAAAAAATGGGGGAAAACAGCGAAAAAGTAGGAAAAACGGCGAAAAAATGGGACAAAAAGGCGATAAAAATGGGGAAAAATGGGAAAAAATGGCAAAATTGGAGCCCCGGAATAGGGTCAGGGCAGCTCCAGGAAGGTCAGGGCTGCGGGAAAACG